GAGGGGGGGGGAGAGAAAGAAGTAGGGCGTCGGAGAAGAGAGAAAGAGAGGGGGGCGGTAAAAAGAGAGTAAGAAGAAGAAAAAGGAAGAAAGAGGGAGAAAGAGAAAGGAATAGACAGACAGTTAGATAGATAGCTACATTATAATGTACATACATATACAGAGAGAGGGAGAGAGCGATAAAGAGAGAAAGAGACAGAGGGAGAGAGAGGCAGAGAGAGACAGAGGGTGTGAGAGGGAGAGAGATAGAGAGATGTTGAGAGGGAGAAACAGAGACAGAGAGACAGAGGCGGAGAGAGAGACAGAGACAGAGAGAGAAAGAGAGAGAGAGAGAGAGAGAGACTGTTCCCATGACGACCAGGAAACCGGAGTCAGCCAGACGGTGGCAGCTCGAAAATGGTTTTCTCACCCTCGGCATCTCCAGAGACCTGGCATTAGCGGAACGGACAGAAAAGAGGTTGAGTGAATGAGGGAATATGTCTGCGTGTCCATGTCTGCGTGAGCGTCATTGTTTGTGTGTGCATGTCTGTATGTGAGTATGTGTTTGTTTGTCTGTGTCCTAGTTTAGAACAGTTTAGAAAAAGTTTTACGGCTCCCGCAATTGCATAAGGTCCTATGCACGCGGGACGAGATGGTTATTTTCACGTTAGCTCGAAGCATAGTTTGGTTTTCCTTTGCGAGTCGAAATGGTTGATGTATATAAGAATTATTTCATGGTAAATTATAGTTTAAAAAACAGCAACTTGTAATTTAAATCATCATTATTTACATCGTTATTTACATAAAGTTCATGTCTGAGTGAGCGTGGTCGTGTGCACACGTTCACAAGCGCGTACATGCTTGTTTGTCCATGTCTGTATGCGTGCGAGAGTTTGTGTATCCATGTCTGAAGGCGCCCGAGTGTTTTCTTTGTTTCCATACGAGTGCATTTGAGAGTACTTAAGCGTGTTGTTCCCTTTGTCAGAGTGAAACGATGAAACGTCCCCCCCCCCAACTTACCCCCAAACCCCCACGGACAACGTTGTTTTTTGTTGTCCACGAGGGGAATGTATTCACTAGTGACATGGCTATGTACAATAAGTATAACAATACCAGTACCGTATGCTATACGTTTATCACATATGCAACCCGATACGGTTATTTAGTTGGCGTCGGTGGCCTTGTGGCCATGTAATCGTGAGATTGCTGCTTATTCAAGTGGCGAATGCTTTGAATTTTAACGTCCATCTCCAAAATGTCCAAGATAGATAGGATAGGACTTGATGAAAACTCACGAAATAACCAAAGTTCAAGACCAATTCCCTTCATGATACCAACTGAATTGATGCCCCCCCACCCCCCAACAATAACATCAGAATTGATTGCCAAAAATATCACGCCATTGCAGTTCTCTCAGCTGACCGACTTCGTGTTGATGCCAAATATGCGGCGGACTTGCAACGAAAGAAAAAAAAGAAAGCCTGAACTATTCGGACCTCGTGAAAACGTGCCCGTAGACTCAACGTGTACGTGCTTCATACAATTTTGTATCAAGACTATGCTGTATCACTTGCACCAAGAGATACATTATACAGAAATGTATAAGAAGAGGAATATATTACAACAAATAAGAAAACAATCATTTACAGGCAGCCCGGACAACTTTAAATATCCAGTTTATCAGATTTATTCTGAAATTCGGTATCTCTGTGAAGAATTATTTTCCACTTAAAAAACAAAAGAGAGAGAGAGAGAGAGAGAGAGAGAGAGAGAGAGAGAGAGAGAGAGAGAGAGAGAGAGAGAGAGAGAGGGGGGGGGGGGGGGGAGGAGGGGGGAAAGCGAACACTACCAAAACATATTTAGTATTGTAAAAAATAGAACCACTCATGTTTGTCATTGCGATTACTAAGGTCTCATGCTTTGCACGTGTCTGTCAGGGTCAACCCGGGCTGAGAGGGGGATACAACATCCCAGTAGAAAGACCCAGATACTCAATAGAATTCTCCCCACGCGGGAATCGAGCTCTGGGTCTCTTGCAAGAGAAAGCTACCGAAGCGCATAACCGATAGATACACTACAGACGCTGGCAAAGACATACAAAGCATTTTTTAAGTTTTAGCAGAGGTTTTACGGCACTCGCGACTGCATAGGCCCATATGAACGCCAGATGATTAAAGGTGCTACAAGAGAGTAACAAACATAAAAAAGAAGAAGGGGAGATAAGGACAATAGATGTTTGAGAGGAAAGAAGAAGCAAACCACACCAGAGCACCCGCAAACGACCCACAAACAATGAATTTACGTTTACAACGATACAAACACAAAGAACACATTCTGTCATATAAACAAACAACACAAGAAGAATTGAAACAGTACGTCTTTTTAAGTATAGCAAAGCAAAACGATGCAAAAACAGTTATTTAGCGTATGAAAAAAGTAAGACACACAGGCAGAAACAACGGAAGAGAAGAAAAAAAGAAGGAAAACCAACCAGTAGCACCCGCCAACCAGTCTCTCTGAACACACATACACACAACAAAAACAACAACAACAACAACAGACCCAGGTACATCAAATTAAATACCTGTGATATTATGGCGTTCATCCTCTGCTGTTGATGTTTTCTGAGCAAAACAAGACCTGCTATAATGTCCGAAGGTACCACATCCAGGTCACGGAAAAAGTCGGTGAACAGCGCCGCTATTTCGCTCATGGAATTCTGTAAAAAGAGAAACAACAACAATACGTTTAAAAGAAAGGTATAAAGGTCAACGTCTTGTCTGCTAGCGTAAAGAGACATTGTTTTCCGATTTACTTTTAAAAAGCTCGAAGGTCTTTCAAATATGTGGGCAAATCCCTTCCCTTTGACCTGTCTGCTGTCTTGTGACAAAAAAAAACCCAACCGAATATGAGTAATTAGGCCAAGTAGGTTTTATTTTCATGGGAGAATGCCCTTTTTGTGGGTCATCTTTCTATTTCGGTCTTAAAGCTGTACAATTAAAATTAATTAAGGAAGTTTTGGGCTTCGGAAAATATGGGTTGTGTCCTAATTACATATCGATACGGTTACTACAAAATACAATTTTAACCAACTGCTCCATAACTGTTTATTGTATACCTCAGCAAATCAGACAAAAGTTGAACCGACCAATGAATATTGACATCAAATAATCAGATTGACCAAACTTTGGTTAATCTGAAACACACCCACAAAAGTTTAGTTTTGACCTCTCTTGTAAAATGTTATTTTCGGCATATATACATTTTTCTGTCATAATACGCAGTTGTGTCTCTTTTCAGTGGAGTCATTATCTTACAATTAGGTTGACCCTTAATGTGTGTCGCCTTATTGATCCATGGCCATTTTGGAGACGAGCTGCTAAGATCCACCTGTCAGGGGCAACCTGGACTACTGAGGTCTGCGGGGTAGCGGTTATACGCTTTACTGTCGCACACAGGAGACCTGGGTTCTTCTTCTTCTTCTTCCTCGTCCTCGATGACTGCAGCTAGACAGTCAGTCCGACGTCGCGTACAAACTGTGTAGTTCGCTTCAACTCTGAAAGATGACCTGGGTTCGATTTCCGCGAGAAAGGAGATTTTTTTTTCTTTAAAAAAAATCGAGAATTGCAGTCTCTCTGCTAGGATGTTGCATCCCTCTCAGCCCGGGTTGATCCTGATAGGCAGGGTCGGAAGCCCGCCTCTTAAAGTATCTAAATTGTGTCGACAGGGGCGTAACAATTCCAACATGAAAAACAAACTGAACTATACGGAATAAAGCGTCCGAGGGGGAAGACCGAGACATTCCATGAAACTATTTCAAAGTGATTACTCAAAAGTCATTTGTTTAATTCTTAGTTTTAGTGTGTTAGTAAGTGCTTGTTTTTTACTGCTGTCCTTACGTGTATATAATTAATGTATGGTTTTTCTTTATGCGGTTGAACTGGTTTTCTTGTTACTGTATATAATTTATCTTGTGTGAATGAATTATTTCACTTAGTGATCATGTGACCGATGTAAAGCTCTCAGAGCTTATACTCACATGATATAAGGCGCAATATAAACGCAGTTTATTATTATTATTATTATTATTATTATTATTATTATTATTATTATTATTATTATTATTAACTTCCCTCTTGAGTCAACAGAAAGCCATCCCATCCCCACAGGGTCTCTATCTTCCAATTACAAAGCAGAAACATCAGCAATCGAAACAGCAGCCACCATTCTCTTGAATCACCAAAAATCTAAAGCCAACACCGTCATCCGAACATATGCCAAGTCCTACAAGCTCTCCAAAAGCCACAATCAGCTCAAGTACGACAACTCCTTTTACTCCTATGTGATCTAAACTCCCAAGCCAACACAACTCTGCAGTAGATACCAGGTCACTGTGGCATTCATAGAAAAGAAAAAGCAGATGACTTAGCCAAAGAAGGAGCCAAAATGACCCAGATTGAAGATGGCATGGGTCTCTCAGAGTAAAAAACACTAATAAAATCTGCCTTAAGTAACCGATGGAAAAGATCCCACCCTAAACACAACAGACGTGACCCCTACTACATATTAAATAGAGCAGACCAGGTCACAATCTTTAGACTCCGTTGTGGCCACAACAGACTCAAGCACCATATGAACACTAAATTAAAAGTGGGAGAGTCCGCGATCTGTGAAAGTGGACACGACCAAGAGGATGCCAACCATATCCTTCAGCACTGCCCGCACTACGCCCCTCTTCGTACACAGACGTGGCAGAATGTGACTCCCCTTGAGAGAAAGCTCTATGGCAGTCTCTCAGATTTGAAGCGGACTGTACAGTTTGTGCGCGACATCGGACTGACAGTCTTGCTGCAGCCATCGAGATCGAGGAAGATCTTCCCTCTGCAGGGAAACAAAATCGGATCGTTTGCAGGAAAGACAGGAAGTCTATCCACAATGACGCCGGTACAATCATAAGGGGCGTGTTATCATACATTAGCATACCATAAGATAAAGCGAAATAGACTGAGATAAACCAGATAGCAGAGCCATACACACGAACAAGCCACCCACCCTAAAAGGCCTACAATACGAGATTCAATGGTTTTAAGGCAAAATAACAACCAAGAAAAAGATAGATGGACGAAGACTAAGAGACCATCCCATAAGAACAACATAACGATCCAAAAGGCTACACACTTGCCCCGAGTCTCACACTTGAGTCTCCCCTCGACACCTTGCAGTACAAGAGGACAGAAAAAGTAAAGGTGAAGTACGTATCAGAAAAAGACAATTGGAATTATTTGACCACGTAAATAGATCAAATGGACTAGTGAAACTGCTGCTGTGGGAGAATGATAGAGGGAAGAAAAAGCAGAGGAGGAAAAATAACAATGGCCTCAACAACTTTGCAAAGAATAACACAAAGAGAAAAACTGAGCTGATCAAGAAGACCAACAACTGGAAAGAATGGGGTGTCATGATCGTTAATGTCTGCTCCAGACCTGACATCTAAAGGAGGAGGAGGAGGAGGAGGAGG